GACTCTGGGGAGAAAAAAACACTGGTGCACCATTTACAGAACTTAGAAGTGAGCTGAGTTTCAGACGGCAAGATTTGGAGTCATATTTTGATATTTGAACTTCTTGCTTCGAACTGGTTAAGAGCAGCGCGACTCACTACTTGCAACATGGATCATTTATCTCTACAAATAACACATGTTTGAAAGAGCTTCGCTGTGTGGAAAAGCTGCTAATGCTAACAGTTAGCTTCTACAAGCCGAGATGTTTTCTGCTGTTTCCTGGACGCCAAATCAACAATAGCCTTCCCCGTTGTGAGTTAAAAGGGGTGAGTCCATGAATGACGTAGATCTGTCAAGCTTTTCAAATTCTAGATTTTCACCATCTATATTCCCACACAAGCTAATGCAGGATATAGGTGTTGGAGATTTTTTTGATGCTCAGTCTGCATGTGACAAATTATAATCAGAAATCAAATTTTAAAATGTTTTTTCAGTGTTCCACCCCTTTAAAGTAGATCAGAATCTCACATAGAGCTGCATTCAGTTGCTGTTTGTTGGTGGATCTGCTTTTGTGAGTTCAGAGCAGTATTGAACAAGTATCACAATAATATAGCAACAACTCTAGCTTATACAAATGTTCAAAAGGGAGTGTAAAACCTAAGAACTAGAAGGCCCATCAGGTAGTGTTTGTGCTGCTGTAGCAAGTGAATTTCCCCACTGTGGAATCAATAAAGTCTATTCTAATCTATTCTATACCACAGCAGTGGTACACGTAGATATGCAAAGTATTTTAGACATTTGGTCGAAACAAACTTCATAAAAAGTCTCATGCAAATTTGTATTTAAATGCATTGGGACAACTTTCTTGATCATAAAATGTTGTTAAAAATGTATTTGTCACAAACTCCTAACTTATCTGGCTCATTATTAGTATTTCTGTAGTCAGAAGACTTCCCTGTCTCTGGACACTCAGCTGGCTTTGAGCTACATCACCTACAGGAAGGATCCTTACAAATAAATAACTGATAGCACATGACTGAAACTGTACCAAAATCCGAGGTGACGAATGCCGACAGGCATGGCAGGCGTTTGCATTGGACCCCCAAGCCACAAGGGGGCCCCAGAGGGCTGACACATGAAATCAGAACTGCAGCAGTAGTGAGACTAAGAAAATCTGTTTCCCCACCCCCCACCCCCCCACCCCATCTGACTGCACTGAGTAGGAACATGGGTTGTCAAATGTATTTTTTCACAGCTGTACTGATAAATGAAAGCATCTTTTCAGAGTATTTCTCTAGTAAGTAAGTCAGTAAGTAAGTAAGTAAATTGTATTTATATAGCACTTATCACAGACATAGAATCACAAAGTGCTTCACATAGATCAAAATAAAATAAAACAAAGTCATAAAATCATGAATAGATTAACATCATAAAATCAAAATGCTCTCAAAACAGAATTTGATTTACATCAGGAAAAATAAAGTCATGAAATTATAAAATTTCATAAACAGATTAAAGATTAAAAATTTTAGTTAAAAATAAGAAAATAAAAGGTTTAGTTAAAAGCAGCTTTAAATAAAAGGGTCTTAAGCAGTTTTTTTTTTAAGTGTCAAGACTATCAATGCTATGTAAGGATAAAGGAAGACCATTCCAGAGTCGGGGTGCAAAAGTCTGAAAGGAACGATCACCTTGACTTTTGTATCTGGTCTTTGGAACTTCTAGAAGGTTCTGGTGGGTGGACCTGAGGGCTCGGGTTGGAGCATAAGGCTTTAACAGTTCAGTAATATAGGGAGGAGCTTGACCATGTAGCGCATTGAAAGTTATAATCAGGATTCTAAAATGAACTCTAAAGTTAACGGGTAACCAGTGCAGAGACATTAGAATAGGAGTGATGTGTGCTCTTCTGTTTGCTCCAGTTAGGAGCCTTGCTGCAGAGTTCTGGACCAACTGAAGGCGGTCAAGGGCTTTTTTGTTAAAACATGTAAAAAGTGTGTTACAGTAATGTAGACGGGAGGAGATAAAGGCATGGATAACTATTTCAAGTTCATGTTTTGACACCAACCTTCGCAGTTTGATAAAAACAGTTTCGGACCAACGTTTTTCAGTGACCTTCAAGAGACATTGATTGGTAAAAAATAACACCCACATTTCTTAAGTTTGTCTTGACAGCAGAGGATAAATGACCAAGTTTTAGACTAATCAGGGGAACCATGCTCTCAGGGGTAATGATCAGACATTCAGTCGTTTCTAGGGGAAAACTCAGAAAAGATACTTTAAGCAACTTTTCAAAACTATTTGTTAAATCCATTTCACAAAGATCATCAAAATAACAGTTGCAACACATTTGTACAAACAAATGCCATGCAGCACCTTTTTCTCTTTCTCATATAGGATGGAATTTGGTGCACATGCAGTCATTCTCGTGCGACCACGTTGGCCGTTATCCCCACCCCATTCATGGATTTCTGACCTCCAGCAGCTGCATTACAACATGCTTGCTGACTTTCTAATTATCTTATCTCGAAAATAATAAGGTTGCTGAGCAATTCTTTGCTCTAGCAGTCTAACAACAAGCAGACCACAGGGATGGTGGTTGGCACTTACTGTCACCAAGGGGGCTGTTGTGTTCGACAAGAAAACATGCTGTACAAGAAAATATGGTTCACTCTCTTTCCTCTGACTCATAAGCACTCACACTCTTTTTCACTCTGAATGTTAAGTCAATTCCCAGCTCCTCGTGCCAATTGGTATTTTTGGAAGTCACAATGAATAATGAATTTGAAAGTAATGTCTGTGTGAAGAAACAGTTTGCCGAGTACCCAGCAGTTCCTCTGCCTGGGATTTAATTTAGCTATTCCACCGCAAGAAAAGCATGATTTATTTAGTTATCTGCTTATGACAACTCCATTGTTAGTTTGCTGCAAATTCCAGAATGCACGTGTTTTTATTTGTTCCTCTACAGTCTTTAATTCATCAAACCCATAGCCTGTAGCAGTGTTGAGATGAGATATGATACAGATTTGTTTCTCCTGGCCAGGGAAGTCAGGAAGTGAGGAATTGACAGGAAAAAAGGGATTGGGTGAGGGATAAAGGATAGATCCTTCCACCTGTAGCAGTGAATGTCCTGCTGGACTGTAATCTGCCAGTTGCCTGTCTCAGAGATGCCCAGCTTTGCTGAGGCCAGCCAGGCTCTGCGGCTTCCAGCACCAAACGATGCCGAAGCCCCAGGACACGAGGCACCTGCAAGGGGAGATAAAGGCTTCAACTTCTTAGCTAAAACTGACGATTCTTTTGATAAAAACAGACATTGGGGCGGCGGGTGGTGGGGAGTGATCTTTTCCCGCTCCCTCTCTCTAGTTCTTCCCTCCATGTCTACCTGTCTTGGTAATCTCTGTCTTGTATTTTTTTTCTTCCCTCCTCCGGTCTCTACGTCTGCCTTGATCTCTCTCTCTCTCTCTCTCTCTCTCTCTCTCTCTCTCTCTCTCTCTCTCTCTCTCTCTTCCTCTCTCTCTCTCTCTCTCTCTCTCTCTCTCTCTCTCTCTCTCTCTCTCTCTCTCTCTCTCTCTCTTCCTCTCTCTCTCTCTCTCCTCTGTCAGTTTGAAGCAGACAGGTGAAGCTCTCCACTCTGCCATTTTATTTATTCCATATCTGTAACTGTCAGAAAGAAGAAGATTGCTACTTTAGGAGCTGTCTGTGCTTTGTTGTGCTCGTGGAAAGTCAAATAGAGAAGGTTGTGTTAAAAGCATCTTGACCACTTTGTGGGGACACAAACAATGACAGTTGTGGTCTTGAAAGCCCCCAAACAACCAAAAATAACTTTACAAGTGCACGAGATGTGACGCCCCTTAGATGAGATGGTGAGAAGGGGTGGTTAAAACAGAACTGGCCAGAGGAGGCAAATAAAGTCAGGTAGGAATGGTACTTATTGATGTATTTGTTTGTAACATCTTTTTTAAGAAACTTTATTGAAACATGTTGGATTACAGGATTAGTGTAGACTGTCTTTTATATTGTCACATAGCAAAGACGTTAAACAGCTTTTGTCATGCGCAGTAATAATAATAATGATAGTGACAGCTTGGTTTGAAATAATAGCATTGTTTTTGATTGGGGAACACCTTCACTCGCCTCCACCTTCAAAGTGAGCACTTGTCAGCGTCACAGTAAATAAAAGGCTGGCATTAGAACAGGCTCTGACACTGAAAATAGTCATCTCTCTGGTTGTACAACAATGACAGCTCCAACTAAACAACAACACATCTAAATCAAGACAGCAAGGAGGTAAAGGTAAGGTGCATCATATGTTGCACCATGATACATAGCAGACAGAAGTTCATCTGTCCTGTTTATGGTGTTGTGCTCATTGTCTCTTCCCATTAGCCCACAACCAGCATGCTATGATACGGTCAGTGCAGGCGCTACGCTAGCAGACGCACACCGCTCAGGGTGGCAGATGCCTGGCGTTCCCACAGATGCCCTCCATCAACTGAGGACAGATGTCAGAGCTCCTCTTGGATGGCAACACTTCATCACGCTACCCTGTTCTCCGCCCCATTGGATACACCAGGCTGCTTGGCAGACACCGCACCCAACATCATTGCACCATTCCCATTCCCCCTTGCTCCACCTGCTCACTCACACCGACGAGAACACGCACATCTCTGCATCCATCAGTCAAGCGTTATTACATCAGACAGCCATCACAACCAAAGGATTGCACGCTAATGCACCCAGAAGCATCCAAAGAGAAGATCTACAGTTTCAGTCTGTGGGTTAGGGAATGTGTGTGAGGAGTTTGTCTGATTACACACACACACACACACACACACACACACACACACACACACACACACACACACACACACACACACACACACACACACACACACACACACACACACACACACACACACATATCAAAGTTGGGGAAAGTCATTTGAGCACTTGGTTTTCTCCACATAAATGGACTGATTGAAGATCGGAGATGAAAAGACAAAATGCACAAAAAAATGCCTGCTTACCATTTTGGTCTGCTGGTTGACTTTACTACAGGAGACATGCCATCTCTATACAGGCTCTTGGTCTTCGAAAAGTTCACAAAGTTGAAAACGACCCTCTGAAAAAAAAATCACACTTAATAGACATGTCTTGCATTACATTGCATATTTTAGCTGGTGAAAAGACACATTAGTGAGAAAACCAAAGTATTGACAAGATGTTTGGCACTTTAGTAAAACCTAGATTTGATGACAGAGTTTATTTAAAATTAGCTTGACATTGAAGTTGGCTTTTTCTTCACATGCCATTTTGCTTTGAAGGTTCCAACTCGTGTCGTTTGCTAGTGGCAGAAACATATAACTGCTACCTGTTGAAGGTTCTGCAGACTCTTTAAGAGCACAACCAACACCAGATCATGACACATTAAGATTACACATAGCAGCTTAAATGTCCCACAGATCATCCCGTGTTTTGGTAACAAAGTTCCTGATAAAGGGCAGCAGCTCAGAGGAGGACCAGCCTTTAATCTGGGAGGACATTATGGCTGTCCCTGTAGGGATGCTGCATCGCCAGAATACATTACCTTTGGCAAACCGAGAGAGCATTTATTCTTATATCCGGATATCAGGCAGAATTGTCTTCGTCTTCGTCTTCGTCTTCCTCCGCTTATCCGGGTCCGGGTCGCGGGGGCAGCATCCCAATTAGGGAGCTCCAGGCCATCCTCTCCCCAGCCTTGTCCACCAGCTCCTCCGGCAGGACCCCAAGGCGTTCCCGGACCAGATTGGAGATGTAACCTCTCCAACGTGTCCTGGGTCGACCCGGGGGCCTTCTGCCGGCAGGACATGCCCGAAACACCTCCCCGGGGAGGCGTCCAGGAGGCATCCTGACCAGATGCCCAAACCACCTCAACTGGCTCCTTTCGATCCGGAGGAGCAGCAGTTCTACTCCGAGTCCCTCCCGAATGTCCGAGCTCCTCACCCTATCTCTAAGGCTGAGCCCGGCCACCCTACGGAGGAAACTCATTTCGGCCGCTTGTATCCGCAATCTCGTTCTTTCGGTCATTACCCAAAGCTCATGACCATAGGTGAGGATTGGGACGTAGATCGACCGGTAAATCGAGAGCCTGGCTTTCTGGCTCAGCTCCCTCTTCACCACGACAGATCGGCTCAGCGTCCGCATCACTGCAGACGCCGAACCAATCCGCCTGTCGATCTCCCGATCCCTCCTACCCTCACTCGTGAACAAGACCCCGAGATACTTAAACTCCTCCACTTGAGGTAGGACCTCTCCCCCGACCCGGAGGTGGCAAGCCACCCTTTTCCGGTCGAGAACCATGGTCTCAGATTTGGAGGTGCTGATCCTCATCCCAGCCGCTTCACATTCGGCCACGAACCTACCCAGCAAGAGCTGAAGGTCAGAGCTGGATGAAGCTAGGAGGACCACATCATCCACAAAAAGCAGAGACGAGATTCTCCTGCCACCAAACTCGACACACTCCACACCACGGCTGCGTCTAGAAATTCTGTCCATAAAAGTGATGAACAGAACCGGCAGAATTGTCATGAACATGTAAGCCATTTATGTCCACTAGTTAACTAGTGAGCCATGTTTGTGTCAACTAGTTAACTAGTGACAGCCTAAATGTAAACTAGTTAACTAGTAAGGCCCAAATTATCTCTAGTTAACTAGTTTAAATATTTCATATCATACTAGTTAACTAATATTGCTTAGCATGTTCACTAGTTAACTAGTGAATAATTCAATGTCTACTAGTTAACTAGTTAAACACATTTATTTTTTACTAGTCAACTAGTAAGGTACAAAAAACTGGAACTAGCTGACTACTGAATGTCAAAATCCCACTTGTTAACTTTGCCCAATTTGGCCAGTCGCTTGAGCATTTATTCTAGTGAGCTGACTGGTATGCATTTTGGCCTTTTCTAGTTAACTAGTAAGCCATTTTTGTGTCATCTATGTAACTAGTGAAACCAAAATATGTTCACTGGTTAACTAGTACACATTTCTGTCTCCCACTAGTTAACTAGTGTGCACATTTTGACCCTCACTGGTTACCTAGTGACACACAAATACCTTCAGCTAGCTGACTGGTATGCATTTTGGCCTTTACTAGTTAACTAGTAAGACATTTTTGTGTCAACTAGTTAACTAGTGAAGCCTAAATGTGTTCACTAGTTACCTAGTGTGCATTTCTGCTGTCACTAGTTAACTAGTGTGCACATTTTGACCCTCACTAGTTAACTAGTTGACACAAACATGGCTCACTAGTTAACTAGTGGAAAGAAATGGCTTACATGTTCATGACAATTCTGCCTGATATCCGGATATCAGAATAAATGCTACGTTGGCTTGCGAAATTAAGACATGCCTGGAGCACGGAGGACAGGCATGGTGTCTAGCTGTCCCTTTCCTCTGGTCTAAAGGTTTTTGTAAGGCAAAAATATTCCAGAAAAGATCTCCCCTGCCTCCTCCCTCCCACCTCCGATGCGATTAGGATCCGGATGAGTGTGAAAATGTGGGTAGAAAAATTAATCAATTTATATTTTTTAATAAAAAAAGGCAAGGAAATGGCGACAGTAATACAGCAGTGGTTTAAATGAATCCTATTGATGGGGCATATCAAATTACCAACTAAGTCCAGGTGGTGGAAGTTAACTGGGTGCTACTGAAATCCCCACCCTCCTTTCCCTCCTCTCTCTTTCTCCTCTCCCTCATCCGTTTCTGCCTTTTTCTCCTGCCTGGCTTCAGAGGAATGGGGATTGCGGATTGTGGCAGGCTGATTCAGACTTAGGTAAAATGACATCTAACTGATGTTGAGACTGGCAGCAGGCTCCTGTAGCAGGGAGATAAGACCATTGCTGCTGGCATTTCAATTACACTTTACTGCCCCGCACATCTGTTGCGAGAGCTACTTTTCAGCCTTTTCCCCTTAGGAAAATGCAGCCTCACTCTGACTCTAGCTTTCTTTGACTGTGCAGCCTCTTTCCTGATTCTTTATCCACAACAAATTCAGATTGTCTTCCTCCTTAGATTCACTCTACCCACTGTTTGTAATCTATTTGTTCGACCTGTTTAACTCTGAGGGAGCGAAGCCCTGACAGATGACAGTGACACAAGGAAAAGGAAGAGAAAGGGGACTGAATCACAGGCACAACAACACAAAACACAAGGCTGAGAAGCCAAGGAGAAGGTGGTTTAGCAGGAAAAAATACAAGAAGACAAACAGTCAAGGAAATAACTGCAAAATAAAGATAAATAGGAATAGGAGGAAAGTTAGAGGATAGAGACATGAAGTAAATGGAGTCTGCAGACGAGCAATGAGAACGAAAATAACTGGAAGTAGGCAGGGAAGCACAGGACACACAGACGCCCCCCTCTGTGGCACTCTACTTTAACTGAAGCTAAACAGATTTAAAAGGATAACAAGAACTTTAAAAGACTTAAAAGCAAGGTAGGAAAACCCTGGGCCACTTACAAGCAAACATTACTCTTCAGTGGGTCCATCAGGCATGATTGAAGACTGTTTTTATTCCCCTTAAACTGTTATCTCCTGTTATAATCCGTCTGTTTTCTACAGCCTTTCATTCTATAAAATATTGTTGACTCTTAACAGTTATTGCATCATAAGTGTTCTCTGCAGCATGATAATATAGATTGTATCCATATCTACCTATGCAGCAAATTTGATAAATCAGCATTCAGACAGTCACCTGCTGGGAAAATAAAATAAAAAAGAAAGTTATGTAGCAATTCTTCAAGCTTGAGTCGCAGGGGTCTGTTTTTGCATATGTATGTAATAACTCAAAGGGTGTTTGACTAATAACTTTGTTTTCTTAAAGTAAAACAAACTGCTATGACTTCAGTGTTTTCAGATTATTAAAAACTTAAAAATCCAATTCCAATTTATAAGTCATCATGAGTTTAAGTGTGCGTATATTTGCACATGTGCTATCCTGGAAGATTTCATTAGCGTGAGAGAAGTTAGAAAACATTAACATCCATGGTGTCTTAGCTTTCATGCTGACAGAAGGTGCCAAAACCCTGGTTCGTCATCTCCTCTGAACAACACTGAAATAATATAAATTAGGAATGCTCAATATTGGCTTTTCTGCTGACATCCAACATTGTCTAACTCACTTTCTGATACTGATGTAAACAGATACCGATATTTAGGTTGCCAATGTCAGATATCTCCTATCATGCATGTTTAAGCTGTAAACATTTTCTGTGAGACATTGCTTTTACAAACAATCTCTGTTATATTGTCTGAGTGAAATGCAACAGAGTGAGCCCTCTTAACTCAAGACTTATCACTGATGTTGTTCCCATTTTCTCCATCCCCGGTGTTTACAAGGAAGCAGGGGAGAAGAAAGGGCTAACAAACTTAGTGGAACACGTGTCTTTGAAAGTATCAGTGTATTTAGGGAATGTTTGGGCATGTGTTAAAGTTAATAAGTTAATACAATGTATGCAGCAAACACATGCTAAGCTAGGTTAATTGCTAAGATGTGTATGCTAGTCAGTAATGTGTTTTTTAAATTTTTGTATATTGTACTTTGGGTGATAAAACATTTATAAAGATCTTCATTCAGGAAAAGAAAGCCTTGGGTGAAGATTCTTGTGTTTGTTTTAGTGGTTTGCTAGCTGCTAGCTACATGTGCTACAAGGACAGCAGATCCTTTCTACACAGAGAAAAGTCCAAAATTTTCACAAGTTGTGCCAAATAAACTACAATATTTCAAAAACAAAACCTCAGACATGTCATATTTTGACATTTTAAGAGAGAGAAGATTAAGCCCAAGAGTTTTGTGTATAAATGTGCATGGTATGTAAAAGTTGGGTCACTAAAGGAGTAAAGCCGATACAGATTCCAATATTACATATTAATGCCAATATCGGCCGATAATATCGGACATCCCTAATATAAAGGTGTAACTACTAACTTAACCCACAATATCACTGGCATCTACATGGAAGAATGTTCCAATAAAAATAAACTGAAGTGATTATTACTTTGGCTTGGAGGTAGATTTTTCTTAGCGCATCTTACTATATACATATGCATATTAACATGTAATACATTAGACAGTCAATCAAAAC